CATAATCCGAACGGCATGACTTTAAATTCATAGAGACCATCTGAAGTCACAAAAGCTGTCTTTATCATCAACCTCTATTTGCCAGTAGCCTGACTTCAGATCCATCATAGAGAAAATTTTTGCACCAGCCAGGCAGTCCAAAGCATCATCGATGCGAGGTAACGGATAGACGTCCTTTTTAGTTACCTTGTTCAATTTTCTGTAATCGACACAAAAACGCCATTCACCGTTTTTCTTCTTCACAAGCACGACTGGAGATGACCATGGACTGTCTGATGGTTGTATCACATCTTCTTTTAGCATTCGTTGCACTTCGTCTGCAATCACACGCCTCTCAGTGGCTGACACACGGTATGGCCTTTGTTTGATTGGTGCACTGTCACTTGTATCAATCTTGTGCTTCACCGCATTGCATCGGGATTTTTTCGCAATACTGTTAAAGTAAAAAATGTCACTAAATTCATCTAGTAGACTCAATAGCTCGTCTTTCTCAGCATTGGTCAAATCAGTATCTAAAATTTCTTTTACGGTTTCTTGAGATAACATTTTCCTGGAACTATGTCCTTTGAAACTTGCTGGAGCCTGATCACTTAGGGAGCAAATAGCGTCCTTTTTTATGGTCGTTAAACAGCCTACATTCATCCCTTTCGGTATAATTTGGGTTCGTCGAGAAAAATTAGTTACCCATAATTTACCACAACCATCCTCTATAGTGACAATTGAAGCTGGTATCGATAGTTCTTTTTCGCACATAAGAAATCTATTTCCAACAATCATAGCTTCCATCTGCTTCCCGTAGCTCTGAATTCAAGCACATATTCGCTTTGCGGTGTTTGCTTCAATTACATAATCGGTTGCGGCAAACAAGGAGAGCTGTGACTTATTTAAATATTCAATGTCTGGAAGGATTTCTGCAAGTGTAAGTTCTTGATTTCCACAATCGATAACGGCATCGGTGGCACGGAAAAAGTTCCATCCAAGTATCATTTGATGACTACATTCAGGAAACACAAGGAATTCAAACGGCTTCTTAGTCCCATTCAAATCAACTTTTCAATACACACAGCGTCCCGAGGCAGCTACAGTTTTACCACAGGCAGTTTTCAATACAGGTCCATTCTCAGTCTCAGCAAACATAGGAGCATTCAGCTGTCGACGTAACTCTTCGGATATGACGGAATAATCGGCACCCGAATCAACAAGGGCTTTCGCACACTGTCCGTTCACGGTGATAAAAGTGTTATTCTTTTCCAACTTGGCTGTGGTGTACGTCGGAGGATTTTCTTCAACTGCGGCCTCACCTCCTGTACAGGTCGCTTGAGCTAGTTTTCCTCATTGGTTCGGCGTGGCGAACGGCGTACTGGTGACTGCGATTGTCGGCGGTTTGAGAGAGCGTCGCGGATAAGGTGAACTGCTCCTTATTCGGGAAGAACTAGGTTGTGCATATTCGTCGTCGAAGCTGTATGTAGATTCAGTATCCCTGTCCCGTCGAGGGTTGGACGTCTTTGCGGCTCTTGCATTTTCAAATATCTGGCGTCTTTCCCTACAGTACCTCAGAACATGTCCTGGGCGTCCGCAATGAAAACAGAGAGGCACATTATCGTCAGTCCTCCACAGATCTGTCCTACGTTGTGGAGCAGTTCTCTGGCTGGCTTCCCGTCTTGGCTGCGACCTAACTGGAAGTGAACGTTGGGTAGTGTTTTTGCTTCTCCCTGCTCCTGTGAGTGGTGCCAGCGCCTCTATAACCTCTTCCCGGACCACAGATGCTATGTCATTCGGTGCTACGGGTTCTATTTCCGTGTAGCCCTGAACTTGCGGCAGGACCTTCTGAAGCTCTTCCCTGACGATGGCGCGCACTATAGACCTTAGTTCAACGGCGTCCGCATCGGCCGACACCGCGGAGACATTAGGCAGCCTCTGGAATCGTGATCGGGCGATACGTCTTCGTCGAAGGCTTTCTATGTGACGGCAGCGTTTCACGAAGGCATCGACGCTGTCATAGTCCTGGGACGACAGGACCTGGTACAAGTCTTCAGCAATACCTTTCATGAGATGGGCCACTTTCTCGTCTTCAGACATGGATGGGTTTGCTTTTCGGCAGAGAGCGAGAACATCTTGAATGTAAGCTTCAGACGTCTCATCGATTTGCTGGGCACGTGTGAGTAGTACTCGTTCAGCTTGGCGCTTTACATCAGCTGCTCGGGAAAAGGTGTTCTTAAGAGCAGTCCTGAAAACAGTCCAACTGGTAAATATGTCTTCATTATTATCGAAACACTGTGGAGCGGTTCCGCCAAGGTAAAAAATGACGTTCGCCAGACACATTTTTGATCATCCCAGTGGTTATAGTTGGCAATTCGATCAAAGTCCTTGAGCCATCTATTAGTATCTTCTTGGCTGTCCCCGGTAAATATACACGGGCTTCTGGGTAGTTGGTACGTCAGGATCGGTATTGGTGCTATATTACTCGAAGCGGAACTAGCTGCTGCTGAAGGATTCTGCTCCGCTTCCTTCTCATCAACCAACTTTCTCGATCTTTTACGCGAATCCTGTAAGAGCCCAAACTCAGGAGAAAGTCCTCGAATCCGCAGGCTTCTGCGTAACTCTGGCGTAGTAGCTGAGTGATATCCGGCGCCTCCACCAAACTGTCGCGTAGATGAAGGGATACTACAAATGAACAGGCAAGTACTCAAGTCTAAACTCAAGACTTTTTATTAACTCGAACTGAATGAAGAGATACTTATATACAGCTAGTGAACATGCTGGAACATTCCAAACTGGAAATGTTCTGGAAGGAAATTTACACAAATAAGATAACATTAACAAGAAGGAAATTTACATAAAATCCAATTATCAGGCATCTTGCCGTTGATGGGTTTCGAGTCCTGCGTCTTCTCCGCTAGGCTATGAGGAGCTCGGTCGAAAAGAACAATTTTCGCTACAATATATTGCATAATACGTTTTTTTAGTAATGTGTGGAATAATAGTAAGTGTATAGTTGTATAATAGTAAGTCAGTATGATGTATAACTGCAGGCTTGAAATTCCAGTGTTAGTCTTGAATTTTACTGTTTTTGTTTTACCCTAACCAGTTTTGTATCAATGCAGCTCTGTACTTCTAAGTATTTTTTTTTTTAATCTATGCAATCAAGAATGTCATATGTATTCAAGGTAGTCCTTTGTATCCCCTATCTAGATGTGACTCTGTAATCTTTTTATTATTATTATTATTTTTTTTATTTAGACTCAATAAATGCTGTTATGGATTCTGCAGGGCGGTCATCATACTCCAAGGGCTTTTTCCCGGTCAGTAGTCCTCCTTAGCAGTGTAAAAGTAAAAGTTTTAGCACCACCACTATATTTTACAGTGATTATTGGTCGATTTCTCAAGAGAAATATTAAAAAATATATATATTTTGTCATTTGAGCAATCTATTGGATATTTGTATTAAATATGCATACATAAAAAGCATATTAGATTAAAGATCGGTTGCCATTTTAATTATCGAAATTTAAGTTATAATACTTTAATTCTAAAATTTACTATGAAATGTGGGCCTGTTTAAAAGAGATCATTTTCTTTATGTCTGGTCTTATTTCACTTAGAACTTATTTAACCGCAAATGAGGATCCACTTTTAATTTTGTTGTGTATTTATTTTTCAAATATAACATGGAAGAAAATATGGCGAGTTCTCTCTCTATATATTTTACTGTGCAAAGTAGTGAAGCTTTTCATTAATTATGAGACGTATTTTTCTGGTATAACTCAGGACTGAGCCCTAATACACTTGAAGGCAACTGTACTGCCTGGCAAATTTCTGAGGATGTCAGTCTTTGCGTAAAGCATTTTACCGACGCAAGGCTTTTTTACGTCTAGTGCAATCTCTGCTTTCCTAAATTCTGTCTTACAACAATCTGCCTAAATTCTAAGTATTTTGGCCGCTTTTAAATTCTCCCCTTTCCCCTTTTTCCAGCCGTACAGGTTCTGGTGGATGATTTGGTCAGAAGTCATCGTTATTCAAAAAGCTGGAATTTTTTGCTTTTCACTTTTTTTTGGTGCGTTGTAAATCAAAGAAGCCCAGAAAATTTGTCACATAGGGATCCATACGGTCAAATTGCGCCATTGATTAGGTCAAATTGCGCCAAGTCTAAAAACGTGCAAGACATACAAATGACCCGGAATGCTAAAGCCGTGAAACGCTGGTAGCTCGATCCGGCTTTTGGACCCGGCTGTGAAATAGTGCGGTTTTTCTTATTTGTAATGGAAATGTTACCAATTGTCCCATAAAAAATATTCCACGAAAGTATTCTTTCCTTTGCCCTTGACCGGCACCGGTGGCGTGGTGTTGTAATCCAGCTGCTTTGGAGGTCTGGGCTGATGGAGTGCGCGAGGCTGGGAGCTCTGTTTTCTTTCCTTTGCCCTGAAAGGGCCCTATGTGATTTGCCATAATGAATTAACTGCAGAATCAACTTATCTTTGACAAACTTGCTTTTAGAGCTAAAATCTGGAAATCCTACTGAGAAGGCTTAGTAATCCATTCTTAGAAATGCTTGTTGCTCTTTTTTAAGTTCTCTTACCGCCTCTCCAGTATATATCTTATTCTTTGTTCATTCAATTTAAGCAAAAATGAAATTTGAAGTTCTTTTATTTGATTATTTGTAAAGGCACAAAAAGAAAATAATTTTTCCCCTATAATTTAAACATACTGTTATTTCAATTTGATAAATACATTCATTAAATCTCCTAACGAATTCAGGAAGCATTCAAAAATATTCTGGTATCTAGAGCCAGTTTGTTAACGAAGACTGACAAATTGGCAAGATGCCAACACACAAATAGGACACACCAAGAAGAGCGTTAACATACTTTTATAAACGAAACCTAAAGCTGTTATCAGTTGCTCGTAGTACTTGAAATGTTATCTGAGAGCGGAATCAGTTTCTTTTATCGCTAGTAAATGTGCAAGGGTGTATTTTTTACAGATAAAGTAGTCTTTCATTGGTAAATCAATGATAGCAGTGTCGCTACAACGTTTAACTCTTTAAGTCATTCGGTATTCTGTAAATTTTCTATTACTTTTTAAAACTAGTTACAAAAATCCTTTGCTATGATGTCTGGAAGTGAAAAGCTATTGAACGTTTCAATCTCGCAAGATGCGGATACTTACGGCAATAGTAAAGTGAAGAAAAGTGAGAATGTTTATGAATGGAGAGTTGAAAATTTTGGTCTCTTCCTTAGCAGGAAATATGAAATACCGAGTCCAGTCTTCATCGCCGATCCATCTGAAGGCACAAAATGGAGATTAATTTTGCTTTCCGAGAACTGCTATCCTAAAGGTCTTCACGTAGGTGTGAGTTTGGTTAGGATGTCTGAGGGTAGTAGACAACCACTTAGTGTAAAATATAAAATTTTAATCACAACCAAGCAAAGTGGTCACATTTGTCTCTTGTCAAGCGAAAAGGTATTTAAAAGCATATCAGATTATGACACAGGTCTACTTATTAGTCATGCCGAATTAAGAGAGAAGAAATTGCTTATAGATACCACCTTAATATTACGTTGTGAAATGGATGTTATAAGAACAGAGAATTCAGATACATACGAAGATTCAACATCCGGCAAGGAAAGCCAAGAAATCGATGATATTAATTCATTATCGGCAGCATTTAATTCTTTAGCACAAAAAGAAAAGAGTTCTTTTTGTGCCAAAGACATTCATAGAGGACCAAAAACATTCATAGAGGACAAATTTAATATTTTGAGCGATTTGCAATTTGGCAGTGTAAATCAGCTGACAGTTTCGAAGTCTATGCATGTTCAAGAGTCTTTAAATCAATTATGCAATGATTTTAAGTCTCTTTATATGAGCAAAAATCTTGCTGATACTATCATAAGTGTGGAAGGCGCTGAAATACGGGCACATAAAGCCGTTCTGGCCGCTCGATCTGAATATTTCAGAATCTGGGAAAGTACTGGGAATAGCAAATTAGTTATTCATGGAATCAAAAGTGCTGTCATGGAAGCAGTTCTCTATTACATATATACAGGGCAAATGCGTGAAATGAGATTGGAAATTGCATTGGATATGTTGACAGCTTCCAGAAAGTTTCGTATTCCACATCTTGAATTAATGATTATCGAATTCCTTCAGGATAATATTGATGCCGATAATGTTACCGACATCCTTCTGTGGTCCGAAGAATTGAACCTGAAGGATCTTAAACAAACGGCTTTAAAATTTGTCTCGTCCAATTATTCTGAAGTGGTAAAATCAGATAAGTGGAATGTGATGCTGAGGCTTAATCCTCATATTGCTAGAGAGATTTTAATAGAATCGCCATCTGTTAGAAAAAATAAATTTAACTTTTAAGTCTGGTGGCCTTGTCGATATATATTAGTGTCATTTCAAGTATGCCTTCCTCTTTTCGGTAAGGTATTACGTTTTATAAACTGTTTTATCTTTATAGTTTAAAATGATTTTACAAAATACATTTTGCTATCAGAGTGTAGAAATATCCTTTTCGTTGTTGAGATTGTACTTTTTTTCCTTCAGTTCTTATTGATATACATATTGTGTAAAACATTTATCAAAATAGGTGTATATAGAAAAATTCTTCCTTTTCTGCAGAACTGAGCAGTGGATAAAAGTGAAATTATATCATAATTATATACAACATAATGTGTTAAATGCTACGATAAATGACTTGTAGCTAACAATTATATTGAATAAATAGTAATTATTGAATAATTTATATAAATCTGACATTTTTCACATACTCTTTTTAGCATAAAATGAATCGTTAATTCAATGAAAATATTTTATCAGTGATTTACAGTTTCTGATATTTATTTAAAGCCAATCTCAATGATGTTGAATGATATTTGATATTAATGAATGAAAACATGGTATATGATTTTTAAAATTTACATGCAGTAAATAGAAGTAATTATTTTTGTGAAACCATCTGAAGTAAACCTGAATATATATTGAATAACATGCCTATATAAATATGAATATTAAAGCTTACTTTAATGATCGAAATGCATTTCCGAGTTTACATTAGTGCTTTATCTCTTACAAACTTTCAACTAATATATTGATGGAATATTATTTTCACAGACTATTACGCTTACATGCTTAATATGCTTATACTTAACTGCCAGTAGCTAAATAACTAGAAATTTTTAAGTATTTAAATTCACATGTAAACATTCTGATCAGCCACTAAAGATTTATGACCTTATAGTATAGAGCAAAAAAGGCTAAATTTTCAGAAACTCAAATCAGAAATTCAAAAAACATTTTTTATTGATTGTTTTCATATACACCATGCAAAAGTTAAGTTCAATTAGTTTATTGTAACTTGATTAAGTTTCTGGATATTTAAGAAATGGAACTTTGTATGTACACCCAACTGTTGCAATGATAATTTTTAAAAGAATAACTCAAGCGTTTTTCTGATGCACGAACAAGCCCAAGTTATGTTTTACAGTTAGTAGTGCATTCATAAGAATAATTAGAGCTTATTATTGAACTATTGTTCTTAGAATACTGTACTGTAACAATAAGACCACTTATTAGGTTATTAGAAACGTTTGTTTCGGCTGAAAGTAGTTGCTGGAAATTATGATATAAGAAGAATGTTATTCGAGGAATATCGGAAGCTATTCGCTACCATCGCCTAGATTAAAAAATGTTTTGTAAATATTTCATCCTTAAAGTGGCCACGATACACCATTTTTAACTGGGTGATTCAAAGGTCAGGCGATTAGGTTTGCCAGCTTTGACGAAGTCAAAACTGGTAAATTTAATTGCCTAACTTGTGATGTAGAAATTTCTAATATTGTCAAAATCGTGTGAGTTGACCACTTTAACAAGGAATTGCTGTTTTGTGATATACTAATTTAATACCTTATCATTTAAATATTTCTGCTTTTCAAAGGAGACATCCCTAAAAACGTAGCTACCTTTGCTATTAGCGTCATTAACTTACATTTTATTTAAATCGAAAGGGCACTTAGCAGATATGAAATCAAATTCAGAAAATAGCTGTCTGTTTTAAAAGAATCATAATGAAATCAAATTCAGAAAATAGCTGCCTCTTTTGAAGAATCATTACGCATTATTAAATATTAATCTTGTTTATATTAAAATGCAGAAATTACACTTCAGAGACTAAGTTTTTAATGATAATAGGAAGTGTTTAAAATTAATTCTTATAGTTTTATGAAATAACACCATGCAAAAAGCAAGTAAAGTATATCACTGCTATGTTGGACACATATGAAATTTATAGGTAGTAAATGTTACGTTTACTTCAAAATAAAAAGAAAATACATCAAGTAAAAACTTAGAGAAGGAAATACTCACGTAAACTAAATTAAGCAGTAATAATAAACATAACTAAATTTTAAAACAATAATAATAATAATAATAATAATACTAATAATAATAATGCAATCTTAAGTTATTCAATTATGGACCAAAATTATTTCCCTTTCTTTCTTTTTAAGTTCATCTTAGATCTGTTATTTTTTTATATAAATTAATCAAAATCTTATTCATTTGATTTTATAAAACTAAACTAAGAAGATGTCAATCTTTTTCTTTTCATAAAAATATGTAAATGTGAAGTATGTTGCTAAAGAGAAATAAAAAGATTTTGAGACCTACACTTAGAAGTTATAGAAGGCATACTGCTTATGCCTATCACTCATGAAAAATTTGTTTGAAATAATCAGTATTTCCAGTTTTGGTCTAAATTTGTAGAACTGAAAGAAAATCTTTTGTTAGTATTTTTTATTTGTAACCGATATGAAATAATTTTAAGAATAAATGTACAAAAGGTATATATTTTCTAAATTTCAAGTAAAGTAAATTACAAGTATTTAAAGTTTTTTTTTAAGATTCAGTGCATTAATAATGAAAATAATAATAATTAAAAAAATACGAACAATTTAATAATGTTTATTTACTTTTATTCGACAACTTTTCGCATAGAAGTACTTTTGTAAGTAATTTTATGCGTAATTTGGCCTTAATTTGGCATGAAAAAAAGATAAAAGATCTCGATACTTTAAGAAAGGTAAACTGAAGATGTCTCTTTTCGTTGATAGCAATGCGTACTCTTGTTCAGTAGCTTGAAAAATATAAAAATGTATAGCGCCATCTCTTGAGGAAATATAAGAGGAAAGGAAAAGAACTAAAAATTACTTTTCAAGACTATTAACACTTTATTTTTTAATTATTTATGCTCTTCATTTTTGATTAGACAAATTTCATGAAACGCAATAAGCCTTTACCTTTAAAACAACGCCAAACTAAGGCAGAATTTTCCAAATTTTAATCCTTTAAGATTTAAAAGGGAATACAACCTTTTTCGCATTCAAATTAATATTTTTAACATAAGCAGACATTATCAGTTAGAACTCAGTGATTTTCAGGTATAATGGAATAAGAGTACATGATATGTACAATGCAGTTATACGTTTGATACTCGTAAAAATACAAAACTTTTATATGATATATTAAGAAGTATGACAAAATATTGCAGAATGATGCCTCAATCAGATAATGAGTTAATATAATAGTATTTCCCAAGCTGCGACATACATAAGTCTTGAGGTATAGAGTCGCATAGAAATACTACTATAGCAAACTGATGACTATAACTCAGCCATTATGACTTTTAAGTACGTCTTTCTGCCTTGAGATTCTCTTATCTAACTTCTGTATGGCAATTTGTTCAGAGTCTAGAATTTTACTACTGTAAGGATAACGGACAAACTGATGTCAGTGCTTCATCACTATCACTTTTCTTAAGGCTGTCTGTTTTATTTTGGGCAGCTGATGTTTCAACATTATTTGCATGATCCTCAGCTTCTTTAACTACTACATCGATTTTCTCTATAGCATTTTGTTCAGCCTCACGGTCCTCAACTTCCTTTTCTGTCATCTTTTTATTTATCGTCTCGTCTTTTGTTGTGGTTGAACCATCACATGAAGTTGATACGTTATTTTCGGTACAAGTTTCTACCGATCCTTTGCCATTTTGCTCTTCAATATCTTCATTTTCATTAAGCAATCGTTTCAGTTTGGCATCCACGTCAAAATCTGCGAGTTTATTCGTACCATTAGCGATATCAGTTGTAGGAGTTTTGGCAGCCTTATTATCACTCTTCTTCGTGCCATTTTTAAATTTCGTAGGTATAATAACATTATCTACAGTGTCAGTCATTGTTTGGCAGGTACTGTCCCGTCTTAAAAATTTTCTTACTTCTGGCGGTGGTTTCGCATCTATCTGTAAAAGATAATAGAATTTAATTTGTAAACGGTAACATATTAATACTTTGTGAAAGGAAAGAATATTGATTTGTTCTTATTTCTACTTAAGTAGAATCTAGACATTTGTATCATATTTCGATATACAATTCATTAATTTCATGTAAAACAATGGTAAAGAGTTGACTATTTCGGAGAATTTTGAGTGAAATTTTCTGTCTAAAGGCTTTGAATTGTCTTAATGATCAGTTTCTGTTTTATACACCTGAATTTATACATATGGAAAGAATTTCTACTTTATATATCTGATCATTAATTCTTAAGATCAAGTTTTATTAGCTGACACAAAGTTTAGCAGCTGTGATATTTTGTGAATGCCAATATTTGCAAAATATTTGCCTCAGCTATTAAAAGTTTGAAAATCGTTATCAAGAAATACAGCCAACACTCTTTAAAAATCAACAAGAAAAAATTAATTTAAAAGGAATAACTATCTACTGCAATAAAACAGTACTTAACTCACGGAGTTTTGGCATTCGTTTGTAATTCCTTGAAGCAAATTAGTTTTAAGCTATCCCCGGCCCACCATGGTCTACTGAATGAAAACTACTGAAAGTGGTATTTCGATTCAGGTTTGACTGAACTAGCTGCATGGACGATTTCATCACCTCCCCATGTGTGTAACCCGCATACAAGCCACAGCTTTCCTCAGAAAGCCTTTAAAGACAATATCCCTCTCACTTGAGGGAAAAAAAAATTAAACCCCTCTCATGAGAGGAATGTAACCTAGTCTATCTCAACTACGGCTCGTCAAATAGCATGACTTCGTTGGTTACTTAGATTATGACAAAGAACTCAAGAGTTATCTGCGTAAAATAGATGAAATTTTTTGGAAGATTATTGAAGAAATGTGGCTGGCTTTCATATTACATATGGGATAAACCATAAAATCCGTGCAGCCAGCCCGTTCGACAGAATCTGAAACTGGATTGAATTACCAATGTTCGGTGATAATTAGTTAAATGATAATATGCTGATTCTTATGCTATATTTACTTTTATTATATTTTATATTATGAATAATATGCTGATTCTGAATGGAGCGAGCAATAGAGGTGAAAATAAAAAATAGATCGAATAAAAAATTTAAAAAATAACTATTCGCGAAATAAAATCTGTCAAACTTATTATTACCTAAAAATGGATGAAATGAACAATTTGCTATATTTATTTAAATTTTCTGTACAGTATAAGTAGTAAAATATTAATTATTTCATATCATTTGAATCTACATCAATTGATTTGGAGCAATAAAAAATTCAAAAAGAAGCTAAATCTTTCGCAAAATGTTAATTTTCTCAAGCATATCTACAGAAACACTGAAAAGTAAGTAATATTTAAATCAGCTATCTTACCTGACTTCCATTTTGAATTTGAGCTAAGGACATCTTTCTGAGCTCAGGATTATTTTGAATCTGAGCTAAAGACATCTTTCTCAGCTCCGGATTCTTTTGAAGCTGAGCTAATGATAATCTTCTCAATTCAGGATTATTTTGAATCTGAGCTAATGACAACTTTCTAAGATCAGGCATTTGATCTTCTGTTGGTTCGGGCTCGGGATTAGAATGAGTCTCGATGACAATTAACAATGAGTACTCCTGTGCTTCATTGAAAAAGGTGAAAAAGAAACAGCAGAAGAAAAATACGAGAATCCATTCTGTGATTGCACTCGAAATATATGATCCACTTGTATCGATAGGCAGTTTCAAGCTAGCTCCCATCGTCGGAGGGTAAGCCTGGAATATGAATGACGTTTGAGTTCATATTTCTAAAATTTTACCTTAAATAGATGTATTTTAGAATGTTCATATTTTTAATTGTCTCTAGCCTTCTCTCTGAGAACGACTTTTAATTTGGAATTAATATAATATTTGTATGAGGAGTCGTCCAAAGGTGTAAGATCCTTGAACACTGGTGGGTACTCATTGGTTCAATTCTAGATGATAGAAAGTGTTGGATCAAATACCCTTTCCTTCTTTCTTTCTTTCTTTCTTTTTTTCTTTTCTTTTCTTTTTTTTTTTTTTTTTGGTTTCATTTTTTTATTTTGGCTCATGTATAGTAATATGGAAATAAGAAAAATGTAATACGAAAAACATTTCTGTAGAAAACCCTTATAAATTCATCCTTTCTAAGGCTTGAGTGTCCGCGAGTGTGTTTTTTTATAATAAAATAATAACCAAATAAAAAATATGTTTTTACATTTCATTTGACTTCAGATTATAAAGTATATATTTTTTCATTAATACTATACATAAGACTTGATGTGAATGACTGAGATGAAATGAATATCGAGTTACTAAAAAATGCTATATTATTGTTTATAATTAGATTAAAGAATTTAGAATGTAAGTAATAATAACAGTAGCACTCTGACTTACCAAAGCATTAGAATGGAAAGTGTCTACTATCATATCCTTAGCAGAGGGTAACGTACCCAAATAAAAATTGTAAACAAGCGAACATTCGGCTTCTCGAAAATGTACCGCGATTAACATAAACAAGTAAATATTGTGGCCTCAGACACCTTAATATTGGAAGTATTGTCACCTAAAGACAGAGGAGCTCATCTGTCTTTGAAATGGCAATATATGTTTTCAAGCGCAGCCATATGAAAGTTCAATCAATACGGTCGACAATAAATAGGTATAAAAGCTCCCACACAGCAAATGTCGATCCCCTGCGTGCCAGACAGATGAAGTCGGCATACGTCTAATCCTTGTGGAGATCGACTGAAGGGAAAAAGTAGCCCATAGGGCAAAATAGGGCCCATAGGGCACTGAAGGGCAAAAGTAGTTTCATATCGAAACTAATACAAAAGTCTAAAATCACCGTCAGAGATGGTAAAGTGCAAATTGCAAGCACTGAGCTATAGAAGCGGATGATTTCCTTTATGTGCCATTGATTGCCATACTTTATAGAGAACTCCGCTCTGGTTAGTGACAAGAATATCAAAACTGGATTTCTTCGGAGTGGTGCCAAGTGGCGTTATTAAGTTAATCCTATTCCCATGAATTGTATTAGTGACAGGAAAGGAAAGCAGGTCGATGATATGAAGTAACAATTCCATCCAAACTACTGCCCAGACGGTATAGTGGTTAGGAGAGCCGACTGCAATACCGAAGGGCCCGGGTTCGAATACCGGAGAAGGCATGGATGTTAATTGTCTGTACCCTCATAGGAGGCAATGGTGGCCACCTATTAGGTGCTTCAACAATAAAATGGCCACCGCTTCTGGCCACTTTGGAGTGGCCAATGATAGAGAGGCAAGCGCCCGATTAAAAAAACTTCCATACAAACTAGTTGGCTTTCTTCAGGGCGGTGGTGGTTTTGCAATAATGTAGGCAGCCTTCTCATTAAATGCATTGTTGTCGCGCGCTGCCTGGTTAGTGGATTCTTAAATTCTGCATCTGCATGTATCGTCCTGCATGGCGTCCTACTTGAGACTTACTAAATGTACGTAAGGGACGCAGTTGAGCAAAACATGAACTCGTTGGATTCGGAATGAACATATAAGGAGTAATTATGGACAATGTTGTAATAATGTAACAATGTAGCATGCAATTCCATTGGCAACCTTGCCTTGTAGAATTCAGGATAACATTTGTGATAGAGAACCTACATATTGTTAGTGTTACATAGAACCAACCAGGGAAAAAGTAAGCGGCAGAGACATATATTAATACAAGACCACACTTATTGACGGCACAGCGCAGAATACAGAACTCCTAAACACAGAATGAACAACTTGTATTTATACATACGCTTACTCAGCTTTGAACCTTATGGAAGCCAAATAGCGCCGGATTTGTCGTGAGCTTAAAGATATCGTTAACATACTGGGGCTCGATGGCCTTTCAAAACATCAAATATTATAGCATTACATGAAATAAAATATACTCACCTATGTAGTTTTACAAATCATTAAATACAGCACTTATACAAACTCAGCGTAGTGAATGAGCGTTTTCCGCATAAATCAGTAATGTAGAAATAATCTAAATTACAAAACAAAACTTAATTGAAATCGCAATAAAGAAATGAAGTAACACATAGTTCAGTTCTCAGACATTAGCAGTACCAGTTTGTGTATTGGTCTAATTAGTTCACCACCGGCAGTTTTGAATTTGACAACTCGAATCTTTTCATTACTGCCGGGATAAACTTGTATAATTCGAGCCACTCTCCATTTTAAGGGAGATAGGTTGTCCTCCTTAATCAAGACTAAATCAAAACTTTTTATGTTAGTCATGAATTTCCTCCATTTATTTCTCAATTGTAACTGTGTTAGATACTCCTTAGATCATTTTTTTCCCCAAAAGGCTTGAGAAAGTTGTATCACCAGCTTCAATCGCTCGCGTATGGTAAGTTTTTCATCTATAATATTAGGTTCAGGCATTCGCTTTATTTTAGTACCAGTGATGAAATGTGCTGGGGTGAGTGCCGATAGATCATCGGACGTTGGAATGAGGGGTCATGAGTTCATTACAGCCTCTATTTCGGCAAGATATGTATTGAACTCCTCGATGGTTAATATCTATGAGCCAATCATTCTTTTCATATGGAATTTCTTGGGTTTTACTGCAGCCTCCCAGAGACGCCAAAATGAGGGGCGGAAGGAGCATTAAGTTTACACTCAACATTTTCACCTGCTAAGAAACGCCCAAAGTTTTTGAAGTCCACATTTCCAATTCATTTTGTGCACGAACATAATTTGATTCAGTCATTATAAATTATTTGTGATGTTCCTCTACATGCAACAAACCGTTTTAGAGCACCAATAAACCCATTGGAACTCAAGTCACTGACAGCTTCCAGACGAACAGCTTTCGTAATGAAGCACACAAACACCTCTGTGGTCGTATTCCTCCGCCACGTTTATGGCAAACTTGAAATGGGCCGGAAAAATCGGTCCCGGTCCGTGAAAACAGTCTTCTTACATTTACTCTAGATGCAGGAAGGTCACTCATAAGTTGTAGAGACAGTTCCCCGCGATATCGAATTCAAATTATACAGTTTTTTTTATAATTCTACGAATTACTGATCATGCTTCAATAATCCAATAATTTTGATGAAGGGCAGAATGTATCAACTGGAAACCTGAGTGTAGATACTTCAAATGATAAGGATTTACAAGTAAGTTCGCTACGTGATTGCGTTTTGGTAGAATAATTGGTTGCTTCGTTTCTTCTGGCAAATTTGCATTTTTTTAATCTTCGGTCAACTCTCAGAAGTCCGTCTTTATCCAAAAAAGAGCTTAAATGATATAACTTATTTGACACATTCAAGGAACTATGGCTTTCTAACTTAGCAATTTCATCGCGAAATTCAGAACTTTGAACTGTTTTAGTGATAATTTTGTGAACCTGATTGAGTTCTCTTACGTCAAGGTAGGGTGTCAGAATTTTAGATTTCCTGGCATTACCGGTAAACCTTAAACACCAAGCTACAACTCTAAGCTATCGATTCCACGAAGGAAATATGTTCCATAATTCTTCAACTAAGCGTAACCTCACCACCAGGCTGTTAACTGTAATCCCTGTTTCCTCCTTTTCCACAATAGCCTTATCTAACTGAGGTCCATTCAACTGTATAGGCCAACATTCTTTACTTTTTGGTAGCCAATAAGGTCTATAAAACCACTTTTCACACGAAATTAAGCCTCCAACTGATATCCTTTTGTCACTAAATCTGCCGGATTATCTTCAGACCTGCAGTGAAACCAACTTTTAGGATCTGTTCTTTTTTTTTTATTTCCCCCCCCCTGAACTTCCAAAACACGATTAGCGACAAAACTGTTTCCAACATTTAGCACTTTCCTTAACCCAATATAAATCTATTTTCGAGTCAGTCCAATATACCTGGTTAGTGATCAAATCTCCATAAAGACTGAAAATATACTTACCAACTCGAGTACCGATTAAAATTTCCATTAATTTTAAACGAGGCAATGTAATGTACTTCAGAGGAGCAATTTTATTTTTGACATAACAAATGACACCTTTATATTACCACAACTATCCTGATAAGGAAAATAAGCAACGGCTCCATACGCATCTGGAGCCGCATCACAAAATACACGCAATTCAACTTCGGCATCCTGACGATTCACATACCCCCAACAAACAATGCCTTTGTAACTTTATTTGCCCTAACCCTTTTATTTCTGAAGACAACGTTAACCACTTTTCTATGAGATCACCTGATAAATTTTCATCCCAACTTATACCTTTCTTCCAAATCTCTTGCAAAAAACGTTTTATTCTGACCACAAACGGAGCTGAAAGACCAAATAGGTCAAAACCATGGTAGCTACTTGCAGAACACCACATTTATTACTCTTCACGGAACTCAATTTATTTAACAACGGTTTAACATCAAGGAAAAGGATGTCGTTCTCAAGAATCGAATTCTCACCCAGCACTTTCACCTACCTTTTACCGGAAATAAGCAAGGCCAGATTAAGACTTATAGAACTTAAAAGATTTTGGTGCCTCCACGTACATTTACGTTTGTTCCCTCCCTCTCATTTTTCTGTTGTTTCAGTCTTGGTTAGCCAATACTTTATAGCGTATGGTATGCTTAGAAGGCATACACTAACGAGCTCCAAATGGACTGTAGAAGAATTATCTTCAAGTCTTATGATAGAAACAAAAGTCGGAAGAAGGGTGTGTAAGACCTTTTTGTTCAAACACAAAGACCTTCACAGTTGGCCCCAAGTTGGGCTTACATAAGCCAACACTTCTGGCTAAACTTAAATAAGTAATGGAATTAAAATCAAATATAGTTAGATTAGCCTAACGGCTCATAGGATAAAGTAACACGCAGGAAGGCTGTGGTTTGTAAAAACTGGCGATTGAAGCCTTATGGCTAGAAGCACTTAACGCCACACATAATCACAACGCTATTAGTCATACGAACAACTTGGCATGAAAAGCGTGGGTGAAAAAGAGAGCGACAGAAAAGTTAAGTAACTTTTGTTAGCAAGTGTTAAGTAACACAAAATTTACTATTAGTCAAAAATCTATAAGTAAATCCTCACAACCTTTTAGATAGTTAAATCTAGTCTAGATAGTATTAAACGCAGGCCATGGTAATTGGTTCGCCAAGACCTCTCAAAAGAAAACCTGTAATTAAATTACAGGCGACCTCAATCAAAATAGTCGAACATATGAGGTATTTAGGCCTTGTAATTGATACACGGTTCTCCTGGATACCCCATCTAAAATGTGTCAAAAACAAAATAGGAGCCCTGAATAACAACATGAAGAGAACGGCTGCAACAAAATGGGTAGTCTTCCCGAAATTGCTCAAAGTATGGTACACACAGTAACAGTGCGGATCGCTCTCTATGGCTCAAGTATTTGGGATTCTTCGCTCACTCAGCATGAACGAAGAGTACTTGTATCAATCAATTCAGCGATCTCATCTGCTACTAATTAGCAAGGAATACCGTGCCACACCCACCACAGCTCTGCAAGTGCTCACTGGTATTCTGCCTTTTGACTTGGTCGCAGAGCAGAAGTATACACTCACCTGTGTTTTGCGTCTTGGGAAAGATACGACTCTATGGAACAGAACATATTTGCATACTAATTAGGAAGGGAAAATACACAGTTATCTCTACGATCCCTTCAAGTAATAATCTTAAGGACAATATTAGATCAAAATTTTCAACAACAACAAATTGTGGGATTACGATATATACTGACGGCTCCAAGACGGAAACCGGAAGTGGCAATGGCCTGTATGTTATGAAAGATGGCGTCTCCATACACAAATGGCGATGAAGGCTGCATCCAAACAAATCAGTCTTCCAAGCGGAGTTAACGCCCTTAAAAAGGCGATTAACCTATCCAGCCGCTTTAATGCACTTGTACAAATTTTGAGCGACTCGAACTCAAGTCTGGAAGCCATTGGCGGTACCAAGTGCAGGAACCCACTTGTTTTTGCAATACAAAAACAACTGCTTCAAATTTCGTCCGACATAAGGCCGGGTTTCAGCGCACACTGGTATTATCGGTAACGAAATTGCAGACGAACTTGCTAAGGAAGCAGCATTGAGTACTTACCTACAAGAACATCCACAATTGTTCCCAAATTCCTACCTCAAGAAGACTACATATGCTCAGCTAATTTCCAAACTGCAAACCATATGGAATAAATCAAGCACCGGAAGACGAACTTTTCGTTTCCTACCGCACCTTTCCACAGATTATCTTCGTTTTCACCAGCGCTAACTACCTTACTCACTGGCCACGGCCCATTTCCGACGTATCTGCACCGTTCTGGAATTGCTGAAAGCGATACATGCGAGTGTGGACAGGAAGGCAATCCTGACCACTGCGCATTCTCCTGCGATTTTACAAAGAGACACCACCTGTCCAAGCTTTCAGAATCATACTGGAAAGAGTGGATATTGCATTTGATGATGCATAAAGGTGAACTCAATAAATTAATCAATATATTTCAGTACTGCAGTACATATCACTGTTAATGTACAATTTCATGAGCGTATATTCTGAATAGTTCATTCCATTTTCATCCTACAATCGTTGTAACTTACTATTTCAAAATTATTATTGTATTTTTGTAAAATTTTTCATTATACCGTATTTAGTAGTATCGGTAATGCTGAATACATGCAACATCAGTACTTATATTCTGCTTATGTACTGTTTTTATGCTAGGTATACCGAATGTGTATATTGTTATACTATGTATTGTTCTTATACTATACAATTATGTTCAAACATGTCTGTATTTAGATACTTAATTTTAATTTATACTTTAGTTTAAGTATTATCTGTTATAACCTAAAGTATTACTGAGGCTACCCATATTAATTTGTTAATAACTGTGGCATGTATCCCATGGAAAGGCCATTGATAATGTATATAATCTATGTGCAGTAACCAAGTTATGTGATAGGTATGCTTAATAGCATAACGGTTTAGTAACGTCTGATCATTGTGTATTATTCTTAGGAATAATTCCACGGAAATATCCACAAAGGCACGATGGTATTTTCCTAGAACTTTGGACTCTCCACTTTTACTTTTACTATGACTATGGACTCATTTAGTGATTCAAACACGATGGCATATTATTGTGAAAAGTAATTCCCCCCACGAATAATCGTAGCATTCCTATGCAAGGTGACTAAGCAACAATAACCTATCATATCCATGAAACTCTTCAGTGAAAACGAATAGCTACGTCCTGCCCTGAGATTCTTCCACCGAACAGTGTAAGTCTGTTCCATGCGGATCCATGCGGCAGTGTAAGAGATCCAGCCGCATGGATCTCTGGGACGAAAGCCGGCTCCGTGGCGTACAGTCTAGATAGTATTCGAGATGGTGTTGGTTTAGTTGTACCATCCCGTTATAAAACTGGCAATAGAAATTTTTTATGGTGCCCCCTTTCCTTGAGTTCCTAATGAACTTTTTGGTTGCCCCTTTGCTTGATGGCCTAAGCTTATGCTTATTTTGCTTAATAGTTAATCCAGCTCTGGTTATAAGATTTCAAATTTTTGTTCAGAACTCTTTCTGCTGTCTCAGTTTTCTTTCTTATGTATAACATTTATTAATATGAACAAATAAAAAATTTATTCTTGGGTAGGTACACATTTAAACAATTATTAAAATAATTTTTTGCATAACTTAATTATGTTTACTATTTCTTGATTTATATATGCAGTTTTAGTTTGAAAAGCTGCATGGTATTTTTGAGAGTAACTTTTAAAATAACTGCGCTTCCAAAATTAAAAAAAAAAGTTAGATATTTAGAAATAATTAGTACTTTATGTTTGATTGCAATTTAGTAGTTAACTATGAATTATTAAGTATCTGATATAATAGGGATGGTCCATATAACTTGTTTTGCTAGCACGATTTAGACACAGTATATACAAATGACTACAATACGCAGGAGGATTTGACATAAAATAATGTGTTTATAAGGAATTACCATATGCCACCCTTGTTGTCATGGTGTAAGTGGTAAAAATGTCTACCTAGCAAGGGGAAGATCGTGTGGGTATTGATTTTTCTCGTTTCTCTCTCCAAATAATCTAATTTTCTTTTCTGTGGTGCCCTAATTCAAATGTGGCGGATGATAATTCATCAACACCTGGATCTCCAAGTCTGCATATCTTCCTAGTCACCTTTTAAATGGGAGAGATTATAAATAATTATCCCATCCTTATACCTGTGTTTTTGTTGTGTGAACGGTCAGTGGAAGGTCTCGAATGTAGGATTAAAGTGGAAATACCTGGCAAGGAAGTAGTTAATTTTTTTTACGTTTCTTCCTTCGAAAATCCTGGTATTCTCTACATATTATCAAATAATAATAAAAAAAATCAGTTTTGTGTAATTGGAAAGAACATTTATTTTGAGATATCCTGTACTTTCTGTAACGTACATGTTTTAATAAGGATGTGATTTTTTTTAACTTTTTATTTAACAATTTTTCTCTCCAATTTTCTCCTAGTATATATATTATTTGCATACAGTATAAATATTTAAAATTATGTAAGTATGCTAAAAACAGCTTACCATTAGGCCTGTGTAGTTCAATTCATTTTCTGTGCGGTTCACATAATATAGATGTGAAATTCCACCAAAGTTGTCAGGAACTGTTATCATATCTGTGTTGACATCTGTTAAGGATGGTAATATAAGCATAAAATATCACCGACAATTTTTGCTTTAAGAGGGTAAAATAAAGGGTTGAATAAAAGCAGAGGTTCACAAAGCCTTTTTTTGCATAGGTACATATATCATTTGGTTAAGAAAAAGACTAAAAAAATTTTAAAACAATGTGAAACTAAAACACCATGTGAAATTACACGGATAGCATTACTTTAATGGTTTTCTAAATGCCTCTGATGATGATGGAGATGGGCTAACGAACATTCAAATCCTTCAATTAAACACATTTTATTTTAAAACATCACTATGTACACAAAAACGAGACGCATAATCAATGAGCAACCCTCCAGTATGTGGCTTACTGGCGAATTGACTGGGATTAACTTCGCTCAGGGAAAACGAGCATGCTACGCCCACTATCACCCAAATGTTTTTCACTTATTGGGTGGCGCCATTTATTGATATTTTGGTGAACAAATTGATTTTCAGAATGTCCATTGCATGAGTATGTATCCCCTCAGGGAGAGAATTTAGTGAAGAAATGACAGTATGATAGAGCTAATGAGTTGATTGCTATGGAAAATAACTATAAACCTTTTGTTTCGTACATGAGAGTCGGTCACTGAGTATGCTCCAGAAAGCAGATTTTGATTACGTACATGAAAATATAATATGAAAAGAGTATGCAATATGCATTTGACCATTCACTGGACTAAAATGAACACGGAAAAAACCCTAATAATCTGGGGAGGGAAAAAATGATGAAAAACTACCCCGAAGATGATGAACGTACAAAATAATGATGAATCTTCAAAATAAGAAGTAAATGAAAGTATTATGGCAATTGATCATGGAAATAACACTGTTCTACTTTTACTGCTAAAACTGTTCATGCAAAAGTCTGCATTACATGATCTCTGTGATCACTCTTACTAAACTCCATCACTCGACCTGATCGTGTGGTCTTATTTTGTGTACTTTCTGAATTATCAGCTATTTTAGCTGAAGGATCGTTGTGAGGAACGTTTGGTTCATGCGTATAATTAAAAGTAAAAGCTGGTTTAACTCTATACAATGAAACGCAACATATCCTTCCATTTATACCAATTTTCACGGTTTTGTCGCTTCGTGACAGCATTTCATGTGGACCAGTCTATGGCTGAGCTAAGGGTGGAATAATGTTGACTACACGAAGAAAAGCACGTGTGTAGGTTTTTAATTCAGAATGCATAAATACCTTTTCCTTAGCACATACTGTAGGCAAGGTTTTATGCAACTCATCCTTTCTCGCAGCTGTTGAACAAATTTTAGAAGTTCAAACAGGTTGTTGCCTAGCTTGTGCATAAAAATCAACTGGAAGTCGTAGAGACAGTCCATACGCTAGGTCAGCACTTGACGCCTCAAAGTCTGTTTTGAAGGCAGCTCCAAGTCTCAGAAGAATTACTGGAAAACTTTCTGTCCACCTGGGAATTTCATGAGCTTTAACCAGCTCTTTAAACACTTGGTGGAATCGTTCCACCAAACCATTTGCTTGTGGATGAAAAGCGGCGGTTCTCATTCTCGTGGTGCCCATGAGCTGGGTCAGCTCTAGAGGGAAGACTCAAACTGTCTCCCTGATCCTTGGTTATACTGACAGGGTATTCAAAGTGAGATATCCAACCATTAAGCAGTGCCATTAAGCAGAATTGTTTCTGCGGGAATATCAGAAACAGGTACTATTTCTAGCTATCTTGTATATCTGTCGATGATCGTTAGATAATATGTGCAGGTGAAAGAATCTGGCTTCAGGTGCCGCAAAGGTGTTGTATGTCTATGAATTTTCGATCGTTGACAGGCACTGCAAATTTTGACTCACTCTTGATGTTCTTTCTCATGTTTGACCACATATACGTGGAATAGATCAATAGATCAACCCGATGCACCAGGATGTGAAAGACCATGAAAATGTTCAACCGCAGTCCTTCGGAAGGTTGCAGGCACAAATGGTCTAGGTGATCCCAGCGAGATATCATAGAGAAGTTCTGAAGTTGTTCGGCTTGGCACTGGTTTTATGTCCAATGATCTCTGGCGTTTTAACGCTCCCTTCAACTCTGGATCATATCACTGAACACCACTAAATGCCTCGAAGTCTAGAGCTGTCGAGTTAGAAATAGGACTGATTTCTATTATGGAATGTGCATCCCCTACTATGCTGTTTACTCCACTTATGTGGCGAATATCGGGACTGAATTGAGAGAGGAAACCCAGTTGCCTTGTGCTGCCTTTGTCTAATATTTTCTGAAATGCATAAACCAGAGTTTTTTTGGTAGGTGTAAAATGGTAAAATTCCGACCTTCAAGTATGTGTCGAAATCTCTTTATTACAGTATATATTGATAATAGTTCTCGATAGTATGTGGAGAATCTCCGTTGTCTGCTTGTGAGTTTTACTGACCGGAAGGCAATTGGTTCCCAGTTGTTTTCGCTCAGCTGTATTAAGGAACCATCCACAGCAAAGTCACTAGCATCAACCCATACACTAAGTCTGTGTCCAGGTATAGGGTGTTTAAGAAGGATTGGTCCTGCTAAAGCATTATTGGAATCCGTAAATGCCTGCTCAGCAGTCTCAGTCCACTGAAATGTATCTCGCGGATCTTTGTGTTTGTTGTCTGGATTTTTTTTATTCTGAATTTCCTAAAAATATTTGCTTCAGGGCGCTAGGATGTGTGCAGCGTTTGGCACAAACCGAAGGTAGAAATTAAAAAGGCCAGGAAAACGTCTTAGTAGTGTGATGGTGGTAGGTTTTTGAAAACTTAAAAGGCAATCTAATCTGTCTTTTAAGGATTCGATACTATGCTCAGATACTTTGAATCTTAAAAATATTATGAATGAAAATCCGGATGGGCATTTAGGGAGTTTTTATCTCAGATAATAGTTCTGTTGGCGTTGAAATAAAATTTTAAGATGCTCTGTGTGCAGTGGAGATTTGGAAGCTACTAATATGTCATCGAAGAATGCATAAACAAATTTTAGACCTCGAATTACCTCCTCAACGAACCACCGGAAAGTATCTGCAGCATTGCAAAGGCCAAATTGCATGTTGGTTCTTTAGCATAGAAGAATGTTGGTTTGGCATTCTTATGTATATCATCTGAATTTATTGACATCTCATAATAAGCGTTTATACGATCTATATGAGAAAATACTTCTGAGTCGTGTAATTCCGAAGTGAAATCTGAAGTGTTAGGAACTTCATAGTTCTTAACTGTCTAGGCATTAAGAGCTTCTTACTGGTCTCTGTTCTGTGGTATCTTTTATCTGAACTATATGCAGGGAAGACGCATGATTACTCTTTGAAGGACGCATATGACCTTATTCGATCATATTTTGAAATTCGCCCTTAGCAATGCCTAGATGGTCCAGTGCGAGTCGGTGTGCCTTGCTAGTTACAAGAGGCCCATCAGTCAGGATGTGGTCGACTACAGAATGTTTTACTTCCGAAGCACGTATATATACGTTCTTGAAAATTTCCCAAAGCTACTATGAGAAAAAATTAATTTTTTAAAATTTTAATATAAAAACTCTCCTTGAATTTCATACTTGGATTTGTGTACTTTTGATATATTGCCTTAATTTCTTTGACATATTTTAATATGCACGTATATATACGTTCTTACAGATATCACAAAAAATATTCTAGGCCGTATATATTCAGCCTTGTCACTTAGAGGGTTAACAGTTTGTTGTCATTACTGTGAGCTGATACTGTTTTTATCAAGTGAATCTCAGTTTTGTGCAGTGTACAATGACAGCCAATATTAGTAGTAATATCAATTTTCGTACGAAAAGGTTTGGCATTGATTATACAAAAAATCTGCACTTATAACTGGTGTTGCGACATTTCCATCTAGTAAAGTCCACTTAAAAATTTTTCTCAGCGGTCTAAAGAGAGTCAAAGAGGTCAGGTCTAAAGAGAGATTTTGAGTTGTGAATGGTTGTGTGGCAACTGAAAGGGTCATCTGAATAGTTGCATTTGAGAAGCAGGAATTATTGATACAACTGATCTAATGTCAATTAGAAAATTTACGTTTGTTCGACGATGACGAACAAATAGGCGACGTGAGTCTAGCCATTTGTTGCATGTGCCCCTCGTGTATGTCGTTTTTTGAAAATTTACATGGGGAGTGCATTTCTTTGCTTTCTGGACAAATTTGTGATAATACCAGCAGGTATCATGTTTTTGATTTTGTTTTTCTGCGATTCCGCTCGCCAAGACTACGATCTTGATTCTTCCATCTACACCCGAAATGTAATCTATTCTAACACGTAATTTCTGAATTTCAGAAAATAAATGCTTTTCCATGGAGATTGAGGAAACTGAACGGGCTCACACCGTTACAGGTGTGACTTACATCACTCGGTCTGCTACTTCCGCCGTCTTGTCGAGGATTAAGGGTGTTATTGCTGCTAAAATTGTTTGCACTTATGTAAGGAGATGCTGTAAAAATATTTCCAATATTAATTGCTTCGGAGTTTTGTATGATTTTGCCTCCTGCCGCATGACGCGTAGGAGTTCGCTCGGCCGCTGATCTCCCAATTGCTCACCGCCTAGAAGCTTTTTTATTTCTTGGTGTGATGACTCGCCACAGTATTTTATCAATTATGTTTTCACATTGTTTTAAATCCGTTTGATTAAGGTTGGCGATAGCCTCCCTTATGTTTGGGCTGTTTTGGGAGGAAGGTGAGATATGATGTAATTATATTTGGTGCGACTCTCCTTGACAGGCCTTGGGATACCTAATTCAAAAGTCGTTTCGCGCGTCAAAAAACATAATGCTGCATCGGCGAAATTGTAGGGTCGAAACTTAACTGCGCTGACTTGCGTCATGTTCGGAGACTACGTGCGTCGAGAAAAATATACACTTTAAAGCAGTCAAAAAAATAATTGCGTTGATCAACTCCTGTTCGTATAACTCTCCATGGGTCACCATTAGTAACTGTTTCTGATGATAATGGAGATGGACTGATGAAGATTCAAATCCTTACACTAAACATACTTTATTTCAAAACATCACTATGTATAATATACAAAAATCGGACGCACATTCAGTAAGCAACTCCCTGCCACGTGGCTGACGGAAAAACTGACTGTGAAAAACTTTCCTCGGGAAAAACGAGCATGCTACGCTCTCTATCGCCAAAAGTTTGTTCACTTATTTGGTGGTGCTATGTATTGACGTTATGGTGAACAACTTGATCTTCAGAATAACTGCTACAGGTTAAAAGATATCTTAGTACGGCCAATCTTTGCCTGTACATGTTTGTACTGAGTTCAGTTTTTTGTACGCGTTTATGATAAAAATTCTTTTCGGTTGCATGTCTGAGCAATGAATTCAAAGCAAACGTCTATGTTTTAAACATTTATTGCGCAGATGTTCATTTTCTAGTTTTTCTTAAAACCATTTACACTCTGAGCCTCTTCAAATCACTGTGATATTAGTAAGGATGATATGAGTGCTGTGAATGAGAAGAAGACAGAAAGCTGAGGATGATCATTCCTTACATCTACTAACAAATCAAAATGGACTCCCCCAAAAAAACGGATTTTGGTTGAAACCAAAGCTTTGAAAAAATACGAAAGAATTTTTTCCAGTTCGTAGTTGACTACATCGCGGAAAACTTATTTACACAATGCAATCCTTAGACTTATCTTGCTTACAAGTCAAATGAAGTACTCAGTCATAATATTGCAGTAATAAAACCGACAAGAACTAGTCGTAGCTTAGAGAGAAATATGCTGGAAATGTGCTCTACGATTTACTTGTTCTCTGAGAAAAGTGAATATTTTAATTATTGCATGTGTATAAATCTTCTATAACAGATTATACACATTGTGCATGTGTATAAGCTGGACTGGTATTCGAAACTAGGACCAGCGTTTTGTGCAGATATGTATTTGATCACCCTATTACCAAATGCAAGAACAGGCTTCATATATTAAATTCTGCTTGAAAATGAAAATTGGTATACGATTTTTGTAATAAGCTTAATCGAAGTTTAAGTGTTAACTAAAACGATGACTGAGCGCTAGGGAGAAATATCCTTATCGACGACTTTAAAGAATTATTTTACATAAATATTACTAGAAAGTAACTGGGAAAAATCTAGAAACCAAATTACTTGGCTAAAAAATTATGGTGCTGTTAAGTGTATGGTACTTTATTATGTTTTCGATTTAAATACGTGTTTTTTTCAAACACGGCGAGTAGCAGTGGATATCTTTTGTTAGCTTTTACTGTAACTCGTAGCAAATAAATATTTTAGCTTTTGTGAGTTTCAGCTCTTGTGGAGTTATATCAAGTTTAGATATAAACTAGCTAATTGCAGCGCAGAATCGTCTCTTCAGCGGAGGCATAGCTGCCCTCTTTTGCCGTGTTCAAATAATCCTAATAACGAAAAGGTATGGAATAAAAATATGTTTAGGCAGATTAAACCTTATTAATATAAGGTTCCCAAAAATTTCGATTAAGGGAGTCTTGGGTATTTCTGATCTTATAAAAATGATATTTTTTTATATTTATGAGACTATGAAAAATATTGTCGTCGTTCTGTTCTTTTAGAGCAGCTGATGTAAAAATTTTAAGTATAGATAAATTTTCCTAAAAGGTATTGGCGTGACCAAAAGTGTTACAGTCTCAAAAACCTGCCTCATTAATTTCATTATTAAAAGAACCTATTGTGACCACAGGTTTTTTTAACTAGAATCATAAGCTACAACCCGCCATTCAAGAGATGCTCCTTGCAGATTTCAGGAAATAAGTCATGCAAACATTAAGAGCCAACATGTAGGTTTTTTTTTTTTTACTTATAAATCACTTGTCTTATTATTTTTCCTGCATTATCACTTTCATCGGCTCCCACCAGAATGCAAATTAATGTATATAAAATTAGAGTTTTTGATCTTAGCAAGAGAGCTTTTGCCAGACTGTTTCAATACTATTTTCGCCAGCTTCAAATGTTTACTTGTATCGACTTTTGCTAGCCGTGTTTGCCAGCGTGAGTGGAGGGCTGACTCAAGCTAGCTTATAGGCGGACGTTTCCTTGTGAAATTCATATTCTAATATATGTAAGGTTTGCTTAATCATTTGTATGTATGAAGCTACTGGCTAGAATCTGTACCTAGGCAGTCTCGGCCACGGCGGTATGCAAATTACGAACCTAGTGGTTCTGGAGGCCCCGGAAATGTTATTTTATTGGCAGGCCTGTGGGCCTGGAACGTACTAGAGCAGATGGCTCTAGTGGCACGGGAGATAGCGCCCTGGGTTTGCTGAGTAATGTCCTTCTGCGACTGGCAGTCCAAGAGACTGGCAGGTAGCAAATCATAGACAACGATCAGTGTCGCATAAGCGACTCGTCCCTCTCTCCAACGTGACAGAGCAGGAGTTGAACCCCTGTGCCTGGTTCTGCGGGGTGAGGGGACTCTTAGTGCCATGAGGCGGAAAGAAGAATGCCCATATCGCTAAACTTTATCATTTGTGTTCTGTTAGTGCCGCAAATAGTGGAGCTTTCTGTTATTACACGAGTTATATCAGTTGTTAACCTGAAGATCCAATAAAGCAGGTTTATTAAAACCTTCTTCCAAGCTGTTACTACTTTACTAGAAGATATAGGACAGGGTGATAAGTCACCTGGGTGTCTTTTCGGAGCTAGAATTTAACATTTGAAATAATTAGCTTCCGTTCAATTCTATAAAATAAGCACATATAGTATATATTTATATGCATTCACCGTGAAAAATGATTTTAATCTATATTTGCGATTAGCTTTCTTGATATTTATAAGGTTTACTTGACTTTTCTAATCAGTTTCTATTTCAAGCTCACTTTTCTAGCCTTTCTTCAACTCGCATTCAATGTCTTCTTCGAAAGTAATGTGAATTTTGTAAACAAGGTAATATATAAAATTACCCGTAGAAAAGCAACAATTATGAAATGAATTTCAATAGAGCGAAGCAGTTTAGCGATCGATTTTTCTGCTCTGATAGCCGTTTTACGAAGTGTTTGCTGTAATTGCTAAGAGTAGCTTCAACTGCTGGTACAATTCATGAAAATTAGCAAGGGTTTAGTTTGATGTATGATAAATTCTATTCAGTTTGGATTTAATATTGAGAATCTTAATTAGGTTGAGAGTTAAGACGCTCACTTTTTTTTTTTTTTTTTTTTTTTTTTTTTTTTTTTTTTTTTTTTTTTTTTAGCATTTTGGGTTCTTGCCTCCTCTAAAACAGTTTGAAGACGGAACTAATCACGCTTTTTTAATTTTTCGGTTGTATTTTACGATCTCAGATTTTTTTTATTGTTGAAACGATATCAGAGGAGAAAGGGATCATTGGGGCGTTAGCCTCCCGGAAATCGAGAGGCTTTAGTGACAGACACAGTACAGATCGCTTAAATCCCTTGTAATGTCATTCTTGTAATGACAAGTGGAGCCGTAATTGAACGAACTATTATGCTCCTGCAATGCCAGAGCTTGTCGTCTTACACCAAGTAAGAGCTCGAATATTGCAACCAGTGGAGGACCGCACATATGGAATTTCTTATGTTTGTGTAGTTCATCGATCGCAGTAGCATTTTTACTGTTCCTGCTACTTTTAATGCTTGGCAACTTTTGCGGAATATGCATACGCATCTAGCAAAAGGACTAGATAAACATTATTTGCAGTTGCTAAATGTATTGTTTTAGCAATTCGCTGCTGAAATTATAAAATGCGACAATATGGGAATCTCTTTCTTACATTGTGGAGTATAGACGCACATGACATGAATACACAAAACAATTTCTTTTACGAATTTGCAGAAGGTAAAATGACACCGAATAATAAAATCCTGTAAATCACCAAGACTGCATCAAGGCGAATTTAACTATTCCTTTTGTACATGCCAGTTTATAGAAGATGCTATATATCTAAGTAAACTGCTTATCTTTTCAACTGTCAAATAAGCTATGACCCTTTTGTGTGCTGCAAGAAATGAGGATTAATTTTGCTCCTTCTTATTTGGAACGCCCTGTTTGTGTAGAATGATATAATAAAAGGATACGGTATACGAAAGCGGCAGTACAGATGAAGAGCAATGCAACTCGAACGAAAAGTGTCATCTGATTCTTAGTCTTCAGGAAAAGGGTGAGAACACATTGTAAGGCAATGTAGAGGAGACCCATAGCAAACAGCATAACCCCGCCAATCATATGAGGTAAACCGACGTCCATCAGCTGAAATGATTTTGATACATTAATTAGCACCTATACAAAAAGAATGCATCAGAATATAATAAACAATTAATTTTTCCATTTTTTATACAATGTCACATTTCAGAGACACCAGGTTATTTCGAAGCAAAAGACCCGAAAAATGAGCAATGCTCTCGCCGGGACTCGAACCTTGGACCTTTCGAATACGCGCCGAGTGTGCTGACCACTACACCACAAAAGCATGCTAAGAAGGCGGGAGAAATACTTTACAACATAAAAACTGTTAGTTCTTACAATTCTACAATTCAGTTCTTCACGTGTAATCCGACAGGAAAAAGAAAGATTATGTTCCCTGGTTCATTTATGTTTAGCATATTATATGAACGTAACTGTTCCGCATTATCTGATTCGTTGAAGTACTGAGATGCCTTCATAACAGTACTGCGTCATAAAGGTGCCCGCAACCTTATACAGATTCTGCGCAATTCGAAAAGGCAGAAACCTTCGCAAAGATGAGTGCGCCCATATGAAGATTAATTTCTAATATGACAAGATCGAGATCCTTAAGGACACAAGAACCTCGCAGTCTCACCATATTCGTTCACATTACGATTTTTGTTCTTTAAATATGACCTTTCACAAGGGACTTGCATTACCCCCGAAAAGTGGTCATGTCCTTATGCACGTTGCTTTTAGAAAGTGTTCTTTGTAAGTGTCCACACACTTTTATAGTGAGGCCGTTTTATGAAGATGCCAATCTTTTCGAATAGCGGTTGACCTGCATAACTGTGCGGGAACCTTTATTAAAGCGGCATCATTATGAAGCGGTATCCCCCTCATAATTCAGAAAATGTAATGAAATAAAATCATGTTTAGTCTAAAATAATTGTTGTACAAAATATGAAGAAATTGTAATTACTCTATCAGTATTGCTCCTACGTCGCCCTCATCCCATGCATTTATTACGTATCAACGAAATGAAGAAACTGTTCTAGGTGATCAAAGCGAATGTGCTTGTTTGTAACATGTATAGTTACTATAATAACGTTAAATGGAGTGGGAAAAAAACAGTTTCATTTATCCTTTAAGTTTTATCATCGCATGAGTCGCAAACAAGCTATTCACTGTCGACTTCTTCTTGGAAAAACATTCCCAAGGTCGTTCATATGCAGAATTTTAAACAGGGTGACAAGGAGGATTTTTTTCTAATTACTACATAAAGCTACGCTTCACAGCAGAATAACTGCTGTATTAAAAAAAAAAAAAGGTTAACACAAGACATGTCAGAACCAACCAGCGGCGTGGTTAGAGCTTCTGCCGTCCGTGGTGGTTCCTAAATATGCCGTCTCTCCTGATATACAAAAAAGAAAAAAAAGGGGGAGGGTTGAAAAAACTAAAAGGTTTCAGATTTTAAATTACGTCCAAAGAGGTGTTTATTTAACATTTTGTGCGTTATATTTATTTATTAAACATCACGTAAACTTATCATTTAACATCACTTAACACCATTAACATCACTTTATCACTTAAACGATAAAATTCAATTCAACAGCAATATCGCAAAATAGTTTTAAACTGAGCATACCTTTAGAATTTTCCGATGCAGACGCTCATGCGCTGGAGATACTGTTTTTTCTGTACAACGTTGCCATTGCTCGCTTTGAAATCCTTCAGTTTGTTAATCAAAATTCGTTAAAGTTTTACAAAATAGGAAATCGATAATAATAAAACAATTTCCAAATTTCAAATTTGGTCTTCCACATGCCCATATTCTATGGAAGATTAGTCAAATTTTGATGGTTCTAGGTACCGTTGTTTTATCACAATGCGAGAAACATATATACATTTATGCAGATTCTTCATTATTTAATTTTTTCAGATATAATACAGGGCGATAAAATTTGGTGGTAACAGTTTGAAAGGTGATTCGCCATTTCTAGTGAATCGACGCAAAATCATATAAAGAAAACAATAGTCCTTAGTCCTTCAGGGACAAAGTCCCTTTAGACTTAAAAAAGATTTTAAAAAAACTAAAAAGGGGTAAAAATGAAGGAAATAAATTTTAATTATTTTTTTTGTGAAAAGCTTTAATTCTAGCATTTTAAAGTTATTATAGTATTATTCTGTGTATTTTATTGTTGTTCGCAAAACTCTCAATAACTTTGCAGAGGTCTAATTGATTGCTCCAATTGCTGTTATGTAAACAGCATAAAGAGACGTCTCTTTATGCTGTCTACAAAACAGCACAGAGACAAATAAATGCAAAAATGAACATTTATTGGTCTCTACTTCTTAATTAATTATTTTCTTAGAAAGTTCTTCTTACAACTATTAACACTTAGTACTACAAATGCTAGCAACATTTATAGTGTTACACAATTGAGAGGAAAGTTCGCATTAGTATTAAAATATGTGGAACTTTTTTCCTAGAAATCTTATTTTAAAATAAACAGTTAAAATTAAAAGAGATGTTCTTTCTAAGCTCCTGTTTGGTTTTTCATAGGAATAATAGAAATAAAACCCTGAGGTACTTCTCTTTTAACGAGGAATGCTTCCTTATTAATGTCCATGTTTTCGACTGTAACCGCAAAAAATATGCCGCTCGGGGCGAATCGCCCTCTCAGCTCCCCCTCTTACTACACCACTACACTATAATTCAGCTAATATTGTTTTTAATTATTCTGCTTCTCAGAATACTTATATCTGTCAAAAATGTAATGCTTTTATTGCTTACTTAAGTACATCATCCATTCACACGCAGTGTATTTTGGTTTTTCACCACGTGAATTGATTTCAGTATTTTTTTGTGTGTGCTTCATTTCACATGGCTTCTTATTTCACTGCGTGAAATGGTTTCAGAATGTGTCGATAATACCAAAGTTTCTACTATATTGGCTTACTTATTATCTATTTTTAATGTAATTTATTTTGTTAGTTCAAAGGGGTAATTTACCCTGAAGGACTATTGTTTTCGTTTTGCGATTTTGCGTTGAAACCTTTAAAAGGCTGTATCACTTTTCAAATCGTTGCCATCAAATTTTATCGCCCTGTATTATATCTGAAGAAATTAAATAATGAAGAATCTGCATAAATGTATACATGTTTCTCGCATTGTGATAAAACAAAGGTACCTAGAGCCATCAAAATTTGACTAACATAATCTTCCATAGAATATGGGCATGTGGAAGCTCTAATTTGAATTTGAAATTTGTTTTATTATCGATTTCCTATTTTGTAACAATTCAACGAATTTTTGATTAACAAACTAAACGATTTCAAAACGAGAAATGGCAACGTTGTACAGAAAAAAACATTTTTATCTCCAGCGCGTGAGACTGCGTATCGGAAATTCTAAAGATACGCTCAGTTTAAAATTATTTTGCGATATTGATAACTGAATTTTATGGTTTAAGTGTGAAGAACATGATATTTAATAAATAAAGGTAACACACAAAATCTTAAAAAAACGCCCCTTTGGAGGTAATTTAAAATCTGAAACATTTCAGATTTTCTTTTTTCTTTTTTTCTTTTTCTTTTTTTTTTTTTTTTTTTTTTTTTTCCATATTAATTTCATAGTATTTTTGCTTGCTCTGCAAATCTTAACATAGCAGTAAGTGGACGGAAAAATTTATTCGAATACAGCCGAATGTCAAAGCATTAATTGAACAGTATGTAAACTCCACTTATAATAATTCTGCGCGAAATAGATGCTTATTCCATAAATTACGTAAAGAACTGCTGTATCTGTAGAGTTCACACATATGCATATACATATCTTTCTAAGTAAGATTCCTAATTTTAAACGTCCGAATGCGAAATTGGTGAATAAAGCTTTCATCTTTTATCCTTAATATATGCTCGGAACATTCTTATGGAGTCAGCAGGAGCTGGGATTGCAACTGCCATCAATTTCGCAGGAAGAAAAGGTATAGCCTTTTTTATGCTTTCATGAATTTTGAACTGGCTGCCAAAAGTTGAATAGCAATTTGTGTTTAAAAATATATGAAACTCTGCATTAATAAAGAATTTCTTATATTCTATAAAATTGTTTATAGTGTTATCGTATTTCATATAATAGTACCAGACGAAAATATGAATAAATATTTCTCTATGAAGTAAATGAAATAGTATTTGATAATTAGTTACCGATAACCAAAAACTATAAATCGAGTCATTAAGTATTTAAAAATTAACTCTAAGAATTAGTCTAATCTAACGATGGTTATAGAATAGTTGAAAGATCACAATAATTAATAAAATGCGTAAGCGGTAATAGCAAGGCTTTAAGTGCTATAAAAATTTATTGAGTATTACAAGCACATATGATTTTATTTTATTGCGAGTACCTTTCTCCAGAAATTACAAAATAAAGCCCTGTGAAAGATAATATCTGTGAAAGAACATTCGCCTTCACTACCAAAGATTTAGTTTACATGAAAATTCTTTTACTAAAGGGGATTTTTTTTTTAATATCAAAATTGAATTTTTCTCGTGAAATCGTCTTCTATACAATTTTGCATCCAAATAAAGTATCTTTGTAATCACAAAAACCACACTTACATTTTTATGATTTTATTTGAGTACCTTTACACTACTGCACAGTGATAACTGTCTACTTTTGGTGAAAGAAACTAAAAGCGAACCCAAAACAGCATGATGAACGAGAATTAGAAAATCTAATTATATCGATATTAAAAATACATGAAAACAGGCTCAAGAAGGAATGGAAATGTTATCAGGGTCTTTGTTCCTTCTTACCTTCTTCGGGAACATACAAGGACCTGACTCGGAACAGAGAGCTTACTAAAGCTATGTTCACTAATTGTGGTAAGTAGACAGGATACAGACGAAGGGTATACAAAACCCTTTATTTTTCTCTATATACAATAACTTCCGTACTTCGGAATACACCCGACCCGCTACTCGGGGTCTAACGTAAAAGTATAAAAATAAAACTAAACTCTAATTTAACTTTAGAATAATAAACGTGGAAGATTGGCCTTATATTAACAGGAAGCGTA